GGAGCAGCAGCAGCAGAGGTAGGAAGATCATCATCCAAGGCTAGTCCCTGGCTGAAGTTTAAGGCCTTAAGGTAGGTAGGTAGGTAGATAGATAGATAGATTAGATAGATAGATAGATGATAGATAGATAGATAGATAGATAGATAGATAGATAGATAGATAGATAGATAGATAGATAGATAGATAGGCAGACAGATAGACAGATAAAATATCGCTAAAAACTAAAGGACCTTAGAGAGTATTGTGCTCCCTGACTGCAACTTGACAGCAAAAAAAAAAAAAAAAAAAATGAAGGCCACAAGCAACTGGTGGTTCCCATAATCTCAGCTACTTAGGAGGCTGAGATTTGAAAATCACAGTTTGAAGCCAACCTGGGCAGCAAAGCTTGTGAGACTCTCATCTCCAATGAACCACCAAAAAGCTGGAAGTGGAGATGTGGCCCAAGTGGTAGAGCACCAGCCTTGGAGTGGTAAAAGCCAAGTGAAAGCCCGAGGTCCTGAGTTCAAGCTCTAAGACTGATGTATGTGGGTGCTCACACATGCACCCCCCCCCACGCGCGCGCGCACACACACACACACACACACGCACGCACGCACAAGCACTGCCATCTTGGCATCTTGCTGAATACAATTAGCACCCGACTCCTCACGTTTTAGGCTCCAGCTCGCTTCCCATTTTGATCACTGACACCTCGCTTCAGACTGCTTACTCGTCTGGCACTTAAAGGCCGACAGGAGAGAAGCATCGAGGGTCTCGGTGAGGGGTTTGCAGGGGCAGCGCTGGCTTTGCTGGGAAGACAGACCCTTTGCTACAATGCAATTACCTTTTATTTTTTTTTCCTTTCGAAACAAGAAAATCTTAAAGAAGATCTTGTGGATTTTTATACAGTGACAGATTTAAGAAAGCAGGTCAGGTTGCTGCTATTAAATGATACTTTTCACGAATTTCATTTTAGTAACCCTTTATGCATTTTTAATTAACCCATTTTAGCAAACCCTTATGTATTTCTGATAGATGCTTTAGGTACCGTTAAACAGGTCGTTGTACTCCCTCACCTCCCCCTTCCCCTCTCTACTTTCTGCCCTCCAGGGCTCTTTTTATTAATGGAATTTCTCCAGCTATAGAGGAAAAAAAAATAGTAAAACCCTCATATGTACCAAAGTCCTATGGACTTAATGAATTACTTTCTCCAGGGATACCTGGGTTTTATGAGAGAACAGAGCAGACGTGGAATGAGAGGAGAGAGATTGGGTGGGGGAAAGAGGAGCAGAATTCGTATACTCTTCAAATTATATGGCTGTTCTCTAGTCCCAGTATTTCTAGGATAAGTGACTATTAAGCAATACTCAGTGATCTACTAGTTCATTTGGGTCAACTGAGTACCTTCAAGATATTTAGCCCTTGGACTGAAGAAATGGCTCAAGTGGTAGAGCACCTTCCTACTAAATACAAGACCCTGAATTCAGACTCTAGTTTTTAGCTCTTGTGCTGTTCTGGAATCAGAGAGCTAATGCAGCCATACTTCTTGTCAGATTTTGATCGAACACAGGTTGTTAGATCATTCCCCTTGGTTCTATACCTAATGTAGGATAATAGCCATATATGATATCTCTACATGTGAACTTGTCATGACTTACAACAAATATTCCCTGATTTTTATATTTTGAGATAAGTTAGGTTGAATTTCACATCACAAGGGAAGTTCTCTGACAATATATATATATATTTTGGGGGGGGTGGTCTGGTTGTGGGGCTTGAACTCTGGGCCTGGGCGCTGTCCCTCAGCTCTTCAGCTCAAGGCTAGCGCTCTACCACTTGAGCGCTTTTTTTTTCTGCTTATGTGGTGCTGAGGAATGGAACCCAGGGCCTCATGCATGCAAGGCAAGTGCTCTACCACTGAGCCACCTTCCCAGCCCTCTGACAAAATATTAAGAGAAGAAAGAAGCAAACCAGTGTGACCTGTGAGAGCTAAGAAAGTCTTTCTGACCTTCTCCACAAAAGACCTTTTGGCCTGTTAAGATCTTGCTAGTGAAGAGTTTAAGAGCTAAGATAGGTTTGGTTTGTGCTGGAGTGTAACAGGAAGTGAATGCATTTTTCCCTTGAGCCCTGAGCCAGTGACTATGCCAAGGGGAAAAGCAGGAAGAACATACCGATTCATCTAAAGAAATCAACTAATATCAAAGGTTGAAGGTTATGATCACTGAAACGTCTGTGGTTTTGAATGATGCTTTTTCAAAGGCAGCTGGGAATCTTTCTGTGTTGTTGTTGCTAATGTACATGCACTAACTGGAGCAGCAGTTCCAGGGTGGGAGCCCAGGGCTGCAGATTCAAGTTAGTTCAAAAGCTAAATGAGGGGCTGGGAAGGTGGCTCAGTGGTAGAGCGCTTGCCTTGCATACATGAGGCCCTGGGTTCGATTCCTCAGCACCACATAAACAAAAAGAAAAAAGCCAGAAGTGGCACTGTGGCTCAAGTGATAGAGCGCTAGCCTTGAGCTGAAGAGCTGAGGGACAGCGCCCAGGCCCAGAGTTCAAGCCTCATGACTGACAAAAAAAAAAAAAGTATTGACAGGTGTGATTGGGGGAATTTAATAAAATGATACTGGTGGAATTTGAGTGTGTGTGGTGTAGGGGACAAGCGGGTGTCCACTGTAAGATTCTTCTATCTTTTGGGCATATTAGCTGTGTGTTCAGACTTTCACAGGCAGGGGAGGGAAGGAAATGCTGAGCAAGAGGCAGGAGCACCCCCATTCTGTATGGCCTCATCTCCCCCACAAAGACTACACTTCTCCCCCAAGCCGTTGAGATCAGGAGCTCTTCACTCTGGTCCCTCGGATGACTGGAATTTGGGAGCTGTGAGGACATGGTGGTGTCTCTTGCCTGGTGACACATCTCATGGTTTTGTCTATAATTGTGGCCTCAGTATGGGGAAGTATGCTGCCTGAGACACCTTCTGTAGCAACCTCCTGTAGTACAGGTTTCCCTGTGCCCAGGTGAGTCATAAGAGATATATTGGGTACCTGCGAGAGGCTAGGTTCTGACAAACAGAAAGCAAATGTAGTTCCAAGGGTTTTGTCTTTCTTTCTTTCTTTTGCGTGGGTCCTGGGCTTTGAACTCAGAGCCTGGGAGCTATCTCTGAGCTTTTGTGCTCAAGGTTAGTGTCCTACTACTTGAACCACAGCTCCACTTCCATCTTTTTTTAGATGAGAGTCTCACAAACTTTCCTGCCCAGGCTGACTTTGAACCCTGATCCTTAAGTCTCAGCCTCCTGAGTAGCTGGGATTACAGGTGTGAGCTTCTGCTACTTTCTTAGGGATTTCACTACATATGAGCTGCTGAGCCTCTGTTTCCCTCTTCCACCCAAGAAGACGAGAGAGGAGCCCTGTGTTTTGTGCAGCACTGGGGAGCTAAGGGCTCATCGCACAGTGGTTACAAAACATCATGCTCTGGGTTTTGAGCGGTCCATGAATCTGATGAATCTGTGTCCCTGCCCACGTCTTTGCTAAAAGGTTCTTCCCACCTTCCTCCCCTTCCCTCCCTCTTCTTCCCCTCCCTCTCCTCCCCTCCCTTCCCTTTTCCTTTCTTTCCTCCTTCCGTTCCTTTCTTCTTGCTTTCTCTACTTCTCCCTCTCTCCCTCCCCCCTCCTCCCCTCTCCCTTCAGTACCAGGACTTGAACTCAGGATTTGCAAGCTCTCACTTTTTTTTTTTTTTTGGTCAGTATGGGGCTTGAACTCTGAGCCTGGACACTGTCCCTCAGCTCTTCAGCTCAAGGCTAGTGCTCTACCACCTGAGCCACAGCGCCACTTCCGGTTTTCTGGTAGTTTATCGGAGATAAGAGTCTCACGGACTTTCCTGCCTGAGATGGCTTTAAACCACAATCCTCAGATCTCAGCCTCCTGAGTAGCTAGGATGACAGGCCTGAGCCACGGGTGCCCAGCCTCTCACTTTGTTTATTTTTTTCATTGAAGGCTCCTAACACTCTACCTCTTGAGCCACACTCCACTTTCAAAAGTTTTGGTGGTTTTATTGTTGTGTGTACATGTGCACGCATGCGTGTGTGTGTGTGTGTGTGTGCGTGCATGCATACGCATGTGCATGCCAGTTCTGGGGCTTGAACTCAGGATCTCAAGCTCTTCCTTGGCTTTTTTTTTCCTTCTTCACCCCAGGGTGGCGCTCTCCTACTTGAACCATGCTTCCATGTCTCTCCATCTTTTGGATGCCTGGTCCTTGTGCATCTGTCCTCTGATGCAGATCCACTGGTGCACACACACACACACACACACACACACACACACACCAGTCTGTTTCTCTCCCTCCACGTCCCGACCACACGCAGAAGTTGGGGTGTGTCTCCCCACCTCCGCAGGCCTCAGCCTGCTTCCCAGGTGGACACAGCCCCAGAACCTCTTACCTAAGTGGAAGATTTGTGGTGTGAAGCTTGTCCGGCCTGTCAGGTGCCCGGCACCACACACACAGGCATTGCACAACCAACACAAGCCACTATTGTTACTCCTGAATGTCTCCACCCTGTGACAACCCTGCCCCAGCCCTGGGGGGTTCCACCTTGGCACCTCCGCTCTCCCCCTCCACCATGACACCCGTGCCAGAGGCCCAGGCCCTGTACTGAACACAAAGTGTGGCTCAGGCCCTCGCTGGGCCTGTTACTAGGGAAACTTCAGCTCAATCTGCCCAAAGTCCCAGATCCACCCCCCCAAAAAAAATCTTTCCTATGTCACAGACACCACACACACACACACACACACACACACACACACACACACTCCTCTGGACAAGTAGCATTTGTGCTTCTTGCCCTTCCCTCTCTAGGCAACACAGCTGACCAGGCCGAGAGATGACAATGGGTCACAGACATTTATTCACAAATCTCAGGATTCCCCCCATCCCACCCCATCCCCCGCTAAGGAAATCCAGGAGCCTCCCCCCCACCCCCACCCCAGCTTCTCCAGGCCACGGCGACCAAGACATTGTCGCTGGGCATCAGTTTATGGCATGATGTCGGCGACGCTCTGCAAAAGAGGAGAGGAGAGGGGTGAACCCAGGATTCACCGCCATGAGGTGCCCCATTTTTATTTATTTATTTTATTTCAAGGGCTGGGTGGTACCTCTGAGCTTTTTTACCCAAGGCTGGAGCTCTACCATTTGAACCACCTCCACTTCTAGCCTTCTGGTGGTTTCATTGGTAATAAGAGTCTCATAGATTTTCCCGCCTGGGCTGACTTTGAACTATGGGCCCCAGATCTCAGCCTCCTGAGTAGCTGGGATGACAGGCGTGAGCCACCGGTGCCCAGCTGAAAGATGTTTTTTATACACTCTCCTTCCCTGACTTCCAGATGCCCTGGCATTGGTTTCTGTCGGTTTATGTTGGCTAGATGAAAATGGAAAGTTCCCTTTCCCCCCTCCCCCCAAGAGCAGAGCTTGGGGGGGACCGGCAGGCTGGACTAGTTAGGTTGGGGGATGCGATGGGAGAGCCAGTGTTATCATGGAGAAAAGGAAGCAGCCCTGCCCCGCACTCACCCTCCACAGAGCCCGCAAATCCATGAAAGGCTTGTTGGCCGACGCCTGGAAATCAAGGACAAGGTCAGTCACCAGCCTCAGCTCCCCCCCCACCCCACCAGGCCATCCTAGGAGGAATCCTAAATTGTCTCCATCACCCTCTTCCCCCACGTGCGGGGGGCGGGGGCATAAAGACTTACCCCAGATGCCAATGGCGTTGTGGCGGCCCCTCCTTGATGGCCGGAAGCCCCGCCTTGATGGCTGCTGCCCTGTGAACAAAGACCAGATCATCCTTCATGCAACCCCTCCATCCTGCAGGCCCTCCCGCATTCCCCTCCCCACCCCACCCCTGTCCTTCACCCCTCTAGGATGACTTGGGCCTGTCCCCTGACCTCAACACTCACTGTCCAGAGAGATCCCCCCCAAAGCCCACCCATGGCACAGAGCAAGCAGTGAGAAGAACTTCCTGTCCACCCAGCCTCAGATGTGTGTCTGATTCCTGTTAATATTTAGCCAAGCCCCCCATTTCTGTAAAAAGGGGCCTCAATGGAAAGAGGGGGGACCCAGAGGACCCCCACAAGGTAATGCCTACCAGGCCTAGTCTTAGTCTTAAGCCAAACATACACACACACACACACAAGTGTGCATGCACACCTGCACCTGCTTCTCTCCAAGCCTCGACATGTGCAAGTCTGACTTAGGGAACTCTCCTCATGGAAGACACCCTTGGTCTGGAACTCAGGGGTGTCCTTGAAAGCTGAGACCACTCTTCAAGATGGCATCTTAGCTTGGTCATGAAGCTTGGAGAATGAATGGGAGATAACTGTTTCTTTGGCTTCCAGAGGGGCCTCTCTCTACTTAAATGGCTAGTGGATCCTCTAGGAAGCCCCCCTTCCCTTATCAGAGCAAAGAAGAGAAAGAGCCAGCACCTGCAATTTTCCATCTGACACTGGCTCATGACCTTGGCAGGCGTGCCTCAGTCTCCCTATCTGAGCATTAAGGAATAAAGGGCCCATTTCACTACCTCCAGGCTCCCCTCCGCCACATCTGTACTAGAGAAATCTGATTTCTGTTCCTAGGAGAGGCTTTCATGTCCCCTCTACTCTATCCACCTTAACTAAGGACAGCTCCCTGAGGATGGGGACCCCTCTGCTCTGTCTGGAGTGGGCTTTGCAGATAAGATGCATCTGACCCAGCTCTTCTATAAAGAAGATGCAGAAGAAAGGAGGGGAGCACAGATACACAGCCACCCAAGCTTCTTTTTCTGCCAGTTCCAGGATTTGGACTCAAAGCTTGGGCCCTGCCCCTTAGCTTTCCTTCCTTCCTTCCTTCCTTCCTTCCTTCTTTCTTCCTTCTCCATCTTTAGGTTAATATCTACCACTTAGCTCCACTTCCAGATTTTTGTGTGCATGGGGGGGTGCCTTAGAGACAAGAGTCACATTGGCCTCCAACCTCCACCCTCGATCCTCAGATCTCAGCCTCCCGAGTAGCTAAGCTGACAGGTGTGAGCCGGCTCCCCAAACTTTCAGCAAAGGCTCCATGGGCCCCCCAAATATCCCCAGGGTTGAATCCCTCCCTCCTCCAGCCCCTAATCATCCCCCAGGGGTTTCTCCATTCCCCACCACCGTTCACCTGATTGGCCTCCTTGCCGGCTTGGTTGACCCCATAATGAACATTGTGATGCAACCTGTCCATTTCTTTCCCGGCCTGGTCGGCAGTATGGTGGACACCTTGGCCAAGTTTCTCCGCTTCCTTTCCGGCCTGACCAGCAGCATTGTTGAGCCCTTGGCCAAGCTTCTCTGCCTCCTTCCCGGCCTGATGGAACCCATCGTGGACCCCTGGGACCACCTTGTCTGCTTCCTTTCCGGCCTGTTCAACGGCATGGTGGACTCCCTGGCCAAACGCCTCCACCTCTTTCCCAACCTGGTTGACCCCAGCCTGAACACCAGGAATGATTCTTTCTCCCACTCCCCCGGCCTGCCCCGCTGAGTAATAACGACCACCGCCATGGCCAAACTGTTGGGCCTCCATGGCAGCATGGCTGAGCCCATGGTGAGCGCCCTGGACCACCGTGCCGCCCTCCTTCCCAGCCTGCTCCAGGGTGTGGTGAGCGGCCTCCCCTAACTTCTCAGCCTCCTTCGCTGGCTGACCAAAAGCATGGTGGGCCCCTTGGCCAAATTCATGACCAAACTTCTCTGCTTCCCTCCCGGGCTGCCCAAAAGCATCCTGGGCCCCTTGGCCAAATTTCTCTGCCTCCTTCCCAGCCTGCCCTGCTGCATGGTGGATCCCTTGGCCAAATTTCTCAACTTCCTTTCCAGCTTGACTAAAAGTATGGTGGACCCCTTGGCCCAATTTCTCTACCTCCTTCCCAGGCTCGCCAAAAGTATGGTGGGCCCCTTGGCCAAAAGGATGGTGACCCCCTTGGCCAAACTTCTCTGCCTCCTTCCCAGCCTGCCCTGCAGCATGGTGGGCCCCTTGGCCAAACTTCTCTGCCTCCTTCCCAGCCTGCCCTGCAGCATGGTGGGCCCCTTGGCCAAAAGGATGGTGACCCCCTTGGCCAAACTTCTCTGCCTCCTTCCCAGCCTGCCCTGCGGCATGGTGGGCCCCTTGGCCAAACTTCTCTGCCTCCTTCCCAGCCTGCCCTGCGGCATGGTGGGCACCTTGACCAAAAGTATGGTGGGCCCCTTGGCCAAACTTCTCTGCCTCCTTCCCAGCCTGCCCTGCGGCATGGTGGATCCCTTGGCCAAACTTCTCTGCCTCCTTCCCAGCCTGCCCTGTGGCATGGTGGGCCCCTTGGCCAAGCCTCCCAGCCTCTTTCCCAGCCTGCCCCGCGGCATGCCCCCCTGCCTCACTTCCCGCCTGATTGACCCCATGATGGATTACTTTGTCTGCCTCCTTCCCAACCTGTCCAGCAGCGTGGTTGACCCCATGGGCAAACTTCTCTGCTTCCTTTCCTGCATGTCCGACGCCATTGTTGATCCCATGGACCACCTTGTCCATGCCGGTGTTGACGCCCCTCTCCACCTCCTTGCTGGCCTGGCTGCTCATGTGGCTCAGTCCATTAAACACCTTCTCCACTTCCCTTCCGGCTTGTGTGAGGCCATTGTTGATGCCTTCCAGGGCTCTGCCCACCTCCCGCTCGGCGTTGCTCAGCCCTCGGTTGATGCCTTCGATCACCTTCTCCAGGGGGTCCTCGCTGGCTGCCCGAGCAGGCAGCGCCCCCAAAAGCAGGAGGAGGCAGCAGGAGCTGAGCACACTTGCTCGATGCATGTTGCTGGAGAGGAGGGAAGGGTGCAGAGAGAGGCCCGGGCGGCCAGCCTGCTATTTATCCTCCGCCTCCCGCCCTCTCCTCCACCCCTCGTGACTCAATTACCCTTGTGTGCAGCACAGACTTGGTTCCCCAGTCCAGGAGGTATTTCCCAGGGAGATTTGGGTTGAGCAATCTAAAAGAGGAGGAAGATGAGTGAGTCAAGCACAGACAAGATGCCCTGGCATTCTTCCCCTTGCTCTACTCAGGCTCCTCCACCCTGGAGGAGGCTGCCTACTCCACCAGCCAGCTCCTGGCTTTCTCTGTCTCTGTCTCTGTCTCTCTCTCTCAAATCCAGGTGGATAGGTAGCTACAGCTCCCATTTTCTCCCCTAAGGGACCCAAACATCTAATTTTCCCTAGCATGGAGAGTTCTGGAAAATGGAAAAGAAAAGAAATAATAGAGCCAGGCACCAGTGGCTCACACCTGTCATCTTAGCTATTCAGGAGGCTGAGATTTGAGGATCGTGGTTCAAAGCTAGCCTAGGCCAGGGGCTACCAACAAAAAGTTCTGAAGTGATAGAGTGCTAGCCTTGAGCACAAATGCTCAGGGACAGCGCCTAGGCCCTGAGTTCAAACCCCAGCTCAGGCACAAAATAAAAGAAAGACAAAAAGAGGTGCGAGGGAAGAGGAGGGAAGTACTCCAGGAGAATTGAGATCTTTTTCTATCATCAGATCTTTTTCTTTGAGGTTCCACCATCATTCTGCACCAGCCACACAGGCTGTGTCACAATTTCTCAGCAACTCCCACACTCGAGTCCTTGTGGCCTTGAGATCTCTGCTCTTCTTTGTCTAGAATACAGAACCCAGAGATTCGGAGTGGGGGGGAGGGCTCCTCCAATTCTATTTTAAAGCCTTTCCTGATGGTACCTGAACAGCCCAGAACATGGTGCAGAATTACTGTTATGCTATTCTTCAGAATTGAACAGCAATATGCCAGGCATGGCAGCTCACACCTGTAATCCCAGCAACTCAGGAGGCTTAGCTCAGAGAATCATGGTTCAAAGCTAGCTGGGAATGAAAAGTCTATAAGATTCTTTATCTTCAATGAGTCACCAAAAAAGCTGGAAGTAGATCTGTGGCTCAAGTGGTAGATCATTGGCCTTGAACAGAACAAGCTAAATCACAGCACCCAGGCCCTAGTTCAAGCCCCAGGACTGGCAAAGAAGAAAGGAAAGGAAAGGAAAGGAAGAAAGAAAGAAAGAAAGAAAAAAAAAGAAAGAAAAAAAGAAAGAAAGAAAGAGAAAGAGAGAAAGAAAGAAAAGAAAGAAAGGAAGGAAGGAAGGAAGGAAGGAAGGGAAGGAAGGAAGGAAGAAGGGAGGGAGGGAGGGAGGGAGGGAGGGAAGGAAGGAAAGAATCCAGGCACTTATTGGCACATGCCTGTAATCCTAGCTACCCAGAAGGCTAAGTGATATCTGAGGATCAAGGTTCAAAGCCAGCCTGGGCAGGAAAATCTATGAGACTCTTATCTTCAGTTCACCAGAAAACTGGAAATGGAGCTGTGGCTCAAAGTGGTAGAGTGCTAGCATTGAGCACAAAAGCTCAGGGACAGGCCCTGAGTTCAAGTTTCATGACCCCCCCCCAAAAAAAAAGAAAAGAAAGGAGAGGAAAGAGGGAAGAAAGAGAAAGAAAAGGAGAGAAAGAGGAAGGAAGGAAGGAAGGATTTACAACAATGTGAAAAATCAATCAGCACGGATTAGAGAAAGCCCTGGGAACAGAGTCCAAGCTTAAGCCTGAGTTTCTCAAGTTGCCCCAAAGAAGGGCATCAGGGGTTCCACAGCAGCCTGTGGGGGGCAGGGTCCCTTAGAGAATGTGGTAGATTTTAGAGACAGGATCATGTTGGCCAAACAGAAAGCCAGGCCTCCCGCCTCCCAGCCCTCAGGCCAGGGCAGGGGGCAGATTGCCACGTGCAGAAGCAGGACGCAGTGTCTCCTGAAAAGCCGGTTCAGGCAACTCTGGGGAGGGGCCTCCCCCCAAAAAAGACCTGTGGCTGCCAGCCAGAATGTGAGCAGGGGGCCAAGATGGCTTTCCTTCCTGCTCTCCTTTCCTAAAGCTTCCGAAGCCCTGAGTTAAATTCCCATATGTTGGCAGATCCGCTTGGGTTGGAGAAACCACACACACACACACACACACACACACACACACACACACACACACACACACACACACACACACACAGAGCCATGTGACTACAGAGAATGTGATTAAGTGTGTTGGAAGGATGAGTTGGGGGTAGCTTGTGGGTTCGTGGCCACATGTCTGCCTGGGAGCTGCTTTGAAGGCTGTGGGTGGGGACAGCTGGGTGGCAGGGGTGGAAGATATTTGGGTTTGAGCCTGCATGAGGGGGTGGCCGGGGTGGGCTGGTGGGCAGGCATGGCACAGAGGAATGGATGGGGTGTGTGAGCTGGGTGTGGTGCCCAGGTATGGTAAGTATCTACATGTGATTTCAAACCAGGGCACAGGACCCACTCCCCTCAAACAACCCATGGCTCCACCCAGAATCCACCACCCCCAGCTCAGGTCAGAGTTCCAGAAGTTTCTGCCACTTCCCCATCTCTGTCAACAGAGGGTGACTAAATTGGGCCACCCTGACAGGTTGGAGTTCATGAGATCTGTTTCCAAGTTTCTTTTGTTTTGTTTGGCCTGGCCTGGGGCTTGAACTCAGGGCCTGGATGCTGTTCCTGGGCTTTTGTGCTCAAGGCTACCTAGCATTCTACCACTTGAGTTATAGCTCCACTTCCAGCATTTTGTGGTTCGTTGGAGATAAGAGTCTCATGGACTTTCCTGCCCCAGCTGGCTTCGAATACTGATCTCCTTAGATCTCAGCCTCCTGAGCAGCTAGGATGACAGGTGTAAGCCACAGCTGACAGGTGTCAGCTTCGAGGTTGTTTTTAAATGCATTCCATCTTTCCTTCACTATCCTTTATGCATCCCTCCATTGCGTCTCAACCCCCATTTCTCTCCTCATATATCTGTTGTCACTTGGGACTGTGTGATGCAGGACTTTAACATCTGCCTTCCTAAGTGAGATTAGTTAGATTTATCCTTTCTTCTACCAGCAGCCTTTGCTAGGTAACATGGTGGTCCTGGGAAATCCTAGAGCAGAAGGAAGAAGTTTCAGTAGTTGAAGAACCATTCTGGCCTCTGCTGTAACTGCATGGACACACTCCTGCATCAGCCTCCTGAGTGCTGAGACTTCAGGTGTGTGCTACCAAACTGGATGTTTACCTGTTTGTTGTTATTTGTTTGGTATTAGGGATCAAGCTCAGGGGGCTTGGAGCTCACTTTATCACTTGAGCCATCCACTCTTGGCCAGTGTGCTTTTAGTTTGGTTTTCAAATAGAGTCTCCTCCCACTTTGTTTTTTATTTTATTTTTCACTTATGAAGGCAGATGTTACAGTCATGCATCAAACAGTCCCAAGTGACAGCAGATGTGTGAGAAGAGCAATGGGGGCTGAGATGTGATGGAGGGATGTTCAAAGGACAGCAAGGCACGGATGGAATGCATTTAAAAACCAACACTAGGGCTGGGAAGGTGGCTCAGAGGTAGCGCACTTGCCTTGCATGCCTGAGGCCCTGGGTTCGATTCCTCAGCTCCACATAAGCAAAAAAAAAAAAAAAAAAGCCGGAAGTGGTGCTGTGGCTCAAGTGGTAGAGCGCTAGCCTTGAGCTGAAGAGCTGAGGGACAGCGCCCAGGCCCAGAGTTCAGGCCCCATGACCGGACCAATAACAAACAAACAAAAAAAAACCCCAATAAGCTGGCGCAGTTGGCTCATGCCTGTCACCCACCCTAGCTTCTCAGGAGGCTGAGATCTGAGGATCAAGGTTTTTTATTTTTATTTATTTTTCATGACTTGAACTTGAAATCCAATGCTTACTTTTGCTTATTGGCTGGCACTCTACCATATAAGCTATGACTTCAATGCATCCTCTCACTTTTGCCCAGGCTGGCTTTTGACTTCAATTCTTCTACCTCTACCTCTTCCTGAGTAACTAGGATTATAGTCATGACTGGCTGTTTATCACTTTGGGTCTTTACCTTTTTTTCCAGGTCCTAGGGCTCTGTCCCTGAGCCTCTCTGTGCTCAAGGCTAGCACTCTACCACTTGAGCCACAGTGCCACTTCCAGCTTATTCTGTTTATGTGGTACTAAGGAATCGAACCCAGGGCTTCATGCATGCTAGGTAAGCACTCTACCACTAAGCCAAATTCCCAGCCCCATGGGTCTCACACATGTGGTTGAAAAGTTGTTCCTAGTGACTCTTTTTCAGTTCTAGTTTTGCCTGTGCTGGACTTTTCCCTCCATAGTTACGTAGGATCCTTGTGTGATGAATTGTTTGACTCTTGTCCTTGCTGTCCCGTCTTTCTCCCTCTTTCTTTCATTCTTTCCTTCTTTTTCCTCCTTCTTCCTCTCCTCCTCCTCTTCCTCTTCCTCCTCCTCCTCCTTTCTTCCTCTTTCCCTCCCTCTTGTACAGGTAATGGGGCTTAAACTCAGGGTCCAGGCTGGCACTCTACCACTTAAAGCCACAACTCCACTTCTGGCTTTATGCTGATTCACTGGATATAAGAGTCTCCCTGACTTGTCTGCCAAGGCCAGCTTCATGCTGTGATCCTTAGATCTCAGCCTTCTGAGTAGCTGGGATTAAAGGTGTGAGCACTGGCACTCGGCTCCCATTTATTTTCAGTTCTACTTGTCTCAAGCTATTCAAACAGCTCAGTCCCACCAACTACGGTCCCATAGGAAGTACTTAGAACCTTAGCTCCCATGAGTTGGAGAAGGAGATGATGTCACTTTGTGATATTATTTTTTTTCTTCCACCCTTCTTTCTAGGATGGTGACTCCTATCTGGTACAAGGCCCCACACCCCTTTGGTCACAGCTACGTGTTAACCAGCCTTACAGGTGAAGGTGCCTGGCCATGAGTCACTGACGTACAACCAAACCCTTACCCCTGGGCATCATGAGTTCACCCATACTCTTTGGTTTTGGTTATTATAAAGTTGCTATACAGAGGGGTTACAGTTACATGAGGCAGGTAAAGGGTACATTTCTTTTTGGATAATGTTACCACCCACACTGGTTCTTTTTTTTTTTTTTTTTTTGGTCATGGGAGCTGAACTCTGGGCCTGGGCGCTGTCCCTGAGCTCTTCAGCTCAAGGCTAGTGCTCTACCACTTGAGCCACAGTACCACTTCTGGCTTTTTCTGCTTATGTGGTGCTGAGGAATCGAACCCAAGACCTCATGCAAGCAAGGCAAGCGCTCTACCACTGAGCCACCTTCCCAGCCCCACCTGTTCTTGTAAACACTTACAGAAGGCCTGCTTTGTGTCTGATACTGTCAAAGGTGGTGAACACATGTACCAGAGTAACCCCCCTCCCGGGGAGGGCCTGAAGCCCGTTGGGGGCAGACAGGGAACTAGTGAGTCTGTCGCTAGAGCCTAACTATGTACTGGAAGAGCTACAAGGACAAACAATAGGCTGCTGTGAGAAGACTTAGAAGACCAGAGCATGCCTCAGTGGTAGAGCACCTGCCTAGCAAGTCTTAAGACCCCGAGTTCAAACCCCAGTGCCGCCAAAAGACTGGCCAGGCGCTGGTGGCTCATGCCTGTCATCCTAGCTACTCGGGAGACTGAGAGTGGAGGATCAGGGATCAAAGCCAGCCGGGGCAGGAAAGTTCATGAGACTCTCATCTTGCATGAACCACCAAAAACAGCTGGCGGTGAAGCTGTGTTCAAGTAATGGAATGACAGTAAAAAAAAAAAAAGTTCAGGGACAGAGCCCAGGCCCTGAGTTCAAATCCCAGAACAGACACAAAGGAAAAAAAATATGATCAAACTGAGCTGGGGAGGGTGGAGAGACAGCACAAAAACACAGTGCGAGGGAGGGAACAGGAGAGACTAGGAGAAGCCAGGAGCAACCCAACTAGACCGCCTGAATCGTGCACTGCAGCTGCGCCTGCGCAGGCTGGTGCGAGCTGACGTCACAAGCCCCTGGGGCCGGGTGGAGGCCGCCCGTGGCCCCGCCCCCTCCGCTGTGACGTCGCCGGGCACTGTGACGTCTCCGGGTGGAAGCTCTATCTCCGGGAGGTCTGGCGGGGGCTTCACACTTCAGTAACATCACCGTGAGGCCTGGGGTGGCCATGAGACCTTGAGGGAGGCCATGTCGAAACGCGACGTCGTCCTCACCAATGTCACCGTTGTCCAGCTTTTGCGACAGCCATGCCCGGGTGAGGGGGACATGGAGGGGTGGGGGGAGCACCCTGAAGTGGCGGGGTACCCCTGTAATCAGTGCTGCCCAGTGCCTCCTCCTCGCCTCCCCCCCTACCCCACACCCCGGTTTGTTTTGGGGGCGGGAGGCTCCACGGGGGAGGGGCTGGCACCTTTGACCCCTGGGCAGAATCGAGGTCCCCCCCCCCCGTAGGATCAGGGGAAGGAGCAGAAGAAGGTAGGCGGGCTGGTTTCCCCCACAAGGCCGCCAGGGATCGTGGACGGGCTTCGCGCTGCCCGGCTTTGCACCAAGGGCAGTGCTGATCACGGCCTCCTCGCTGAAGTCTCACAAGTGGCAGGCGAGGCCAGGGTGTTCACCGTGCCCATTCTAGAGCTGCCAACAGAGGTCGAGGCAGGACACAGCCCTTCCCTGCCTCTCCACCAAGGAATGGCAGACTCGGGAGTCCACCCGTGGGGGCAACTCCTGATTCCTGCTCCTAGCCAGCGGAGTGTGTGTGTGTGTGTGTGTGTGTGCCTACTGCACAGATATACACACACAGGCACCCCAGGAAAACAGTTCTAGCTCCCCACCATTGTGTGAATACCACGGTTAAAACTCGGGGGCTCTAGTTTGCTCAGCTTGCTTGATCCACTGACACTCTGTACCACATGAGCCACGCCTCCAGCTCAACATTTTGCTGGTTACAGGTTGGGAGATGGCATCTTGCTGACTTTTCTTCCCCTGGGGTTGGCATCGAACCATGGTCCCTCCAGGTCTCAGCCTCCTAAGTAGCTAGGATTACAGGTGTGAGTCACCCCACCTGTCTTAGGGTCTCACTTCCCACAGGTGGAGTGAGAAGAGCCCAGGACACAGCAGGAGATGGGGGGGGGCCGGGACACCCAGCATTAGCTGACCTCAAGATCCCAGAAGGCATTGCAGTAGATGGGGTAACAGGCAAGGCCTGGTTGTTCTGTGGCCTCCACCCTCATTGTCCCTTCCAGAAAGTGGGTTCTCTAGTGCACACCTCACACAGTAGGGGGCTGAGAACAGCACCCAGCTAGTACAGAGGCTATTTAATCTGCCAGCTCCACTTCCAGGTGGTTCATTGGAGATGTGTCTCACAGACTTTTGTGCCTGGGCTCCCTTCAAACTGTGATCCTCAGATCTCAGCCTCCTTAGTAGCTGGGATTACAGGAGTGAGCCACCAGCTGAGGCCTTCCATCTAAAGGCTGCTGAGTGAGCTCACAGTTCCGATCTTATTGCAGGTGTTCTTAAATGTCCTCCCTTTATGTTAGCAATAACAGAGCCTCCAGGAATGCAAACATCTTCTAGGTCACTGGTGTGACCAGAGCCTCTGCCACCAGTAAACACTGAGTGACACCCTATAAACATGCACTGACCTCACAAACACACACAGATCAGTGTTGAGCCACAGGTCTGAGCAGCAGGCAGAAGTCAGAGATAGAGGCAGGGCCCCTAGCTCCTGGCCTATCAATCTCCAGAACGCTTTTGATTTCAGTACCCAGGACAGCTCCACCAATCCCCCGCTTGCCCTCCCCCACCCCCCTTCCAAATGCTCATAACACAGTCTTTCCTGTCCAGACTGGCTTGGAACTGCGATCCTCAGATCTCAGCCTCCTGAGTAACTAAGATGACAGGCGTGAGCCACTAGTGTTCGGCTCCCAAGAGCTTTAGTTACCTGCTCTGGCCCATGTGTGGCCAGTGGCTGAGCAGGGACTGGCACTCAGGCCTGACTTCTCAGCTTGAAATACTCTGTCACCCTCTGCCCAGCGTCTCACCCAAAACCAGGCAGAAACACACCTGTAAGCACAGGATGGAGGTTGGAGTGCAGAGACAGTGGGTGCTAATGAAGGCTTTTCACTTATGCAATAAAGTTAGGATACACGCTGCCTCCTCAGCTTCCCTGGGCATGAGAACTGTCAGAGTGCTTGTTGAACATGATATTCTTGACCAAGGGTGGTAACATACTTCACGTCTATAGTCCCAGCTACTTGGAAGGTGGATGTAAGAGGACTGAAGTTCTGAGTTCAGCCCAGGGGGAAAAGTTAACAAGACCTTGTCCCCAGGACAAGCCAAATGTGGTGGGACATGCCTATAGTCCCAGCTGCTGGTAAGACAGAAGTAGAAGGACTGGTAATTTAAAACCAGCTCGGGTAGCCGGGCGCTGGTGGCTCATGCCTGTAATCCTAGCTACTCAGGAGGCTGAGATCTGAGGATCGCGGTTCAAAGCCAGCCCGGGCAGGAGAGACCGTGAGACTCCTATCTCCAATAAAACCACCAGAAAACCGGAAGTGGCGCTGTAGCTCAAGTGGTAGAGCGCTCACCTTGAGCTGAAGAGCTGAGGAACAGCGCCCAGGCCCAGAGTTCAAGCGCCACGGCCAACAACAACAACAAAAAATAAAATTTAAAAAAAAAAACAGCTCAGGTAAAGTTAACCTGAGCCTTTAGCAAAATAAAATGTAAGTAAGAAAGCCATGTGACTTAAGCAGTAGAGCACTTGCCTAGCAAGCCTGAAGCCCTAAGTTCAAATCCCATAATGCCTAAAAAGGGAGGGAGGAGCCGGGCATTGGTGGCTTGTGCCTGTAATTCTACCTACTTAGGAGGCTTAGGGGCTGGGAAGGTGGCTCAGTGGTAAAGCGCATGCCTTGCATGCCAGAGGCCCTGGGTTCGATTCCTCAGCACCACATAAGCAAAAAGAAAAAAGCCGGAAGTGGCGCTGTGGCTCAAGTGGTAGAGCACTAGCCTTGAGCTGAAGAGCTGAGGGACAGTGCCCAGGCCCAGAGTTCAGGCCCCATGACTGGACCCAAAAAAAAAAAAAAAAAAGGAGGCTTAGATCTGAGGACTGCAGTTCAAGGCCAGCCCAACAGGAAAGTCCATGAGACTTATCTCCAACTAAGTACCAAAAAAAGTAGAAAGTGGCACTGTGGCTCGAGTGGTAGAGAGCTAGCCTTGAGGAAAACAAATTTCAAAATCAGGGACAGCACCCAGGTTCTGAGTTCAAGCCCCAGGATCAGCACACAAAAAAGAGGGGGGAGAGGAATTCTTGGGCCTCAGTACAAAGCCACTGAGTCAGAGTTATCTAGGGAGAGGCCTCCCTAGGTGGGTCAGCTCATCAGAAACATTTGGGGACTCAGAATGACTCACTGTCAAATTCCAGAAATGATTTGTGAAGGCCAGACATGATAGTGCCCATCTGTAATACCAGCTATTCAAGAGCTGGAGATAGGAGGATCTTTGTCTGAGGCCACAAGAAACATAAAGTCAGGACTGGAGGCATGGCTCAGTTGGTAGAGCTTCAGCCAACAAGCAAAGTGTCAGGCACCAAATTCAAGTCCCAACAACAATAAAAAAGAAATATAAAATCATATCTGAAGAACAAACTAAAAGAACTGGGAACCTGAATCAAGTGGTAGAGAGGCCCAGGGTTCAATCCTCAGAACTGGAAAAACAACAAGAAATGGTCTTGAAATAGAAAGCTGTGAGAAACATTTCTTAATTTTCTATCTTCCCTGGTCCTCACAGTGACCCTCTGAGAGAAAACACCCTTTGCACTCCATTTTACAGAATAAGAAACTGAGGCGCCAGGCATGCATCCTTGGAGCAACAGCTAAAACTACATCCCCACTGAGCAGAGCAAACAGAGTAGAGGTTCTATTCACAGCGCTGACCTTTTAAAACCACCTGCTCCCAAGCCAGGCACTGGTGGCACCTGTAATCCTAGTTACTCAGGAGGCTGAGATTTGTGGATTGCAGTTTGAAGCCAGCACAGGCAGGAAAGTTCATGAGGCTCTTATGTCCAATGAACCACCAGAAATTGGAAGTGGAGCTGTGGCTCAAAGTAGTAGAGTGGTAACCTTGAACCAAAAAGAAGCTCAGAGACAGCACCCAGGCCCTGAGTTCAATCCCACGACTGACAAAAAGACACACACACACACACACACACACACACACACACACAGTGCCCCTGGCTTACCCTATGACTCAAGTTTGAGAAATACCATCAACAACAACAAAATAAAATGAACCAGGTGCTTGTGGCTCACACCTGTCATCTTAACTATTTAGGAGCTGAGATCTGACAATCATGGTTCAAAGCCAGCTTGTATGGGAATGTCTATGTGACTCTTATCTCCAATGAGCCACCCAAAAGCCGAAAGTAAAGCTGTGGCTCAAGTGGTAGAGCTCCAGCTTTGAGTCAAAACGCTCAAGAACAGTGCCCAGGCCCTGAGTTCACAGACACACACAGACACACAGACACACAATCTGTTGTTTTTTTTAATGAGAGGGAGACAAGCGCTCTCCTTTCTTGCTCCCAGGCTGCTGGGGGTGTGGGGGAAAGTAACACAATTGGCCACCAGAGGCCAGGAACTCCACAGGTTGGGGCTGGGGGGAGGAGCAACAATGGCTTATTCTTCACACAGCTGCCACAGACCATTGTCCCCTCTCTGACTCTCCTTCCCACAGTGGTCAGACCCCCTCCTCCCCCACCACCTGATGAGCCTCCTCCACCCAGGCCAATAAGGGAGGAGCCAGCAAGGGAGGAACCCCAAGTCCAACCACCACCCCCACCCAAGCCGTCCCCTGAAGTTCCAGAATTGATCGTGGGCATCAATGGGTAAGGCCTGAGTGGGTAATTAATGTCAAACTCCCCTACCCCCAAACCTGATCAGGTGACCAGCTGGAACATCTCTCCATTTCTATTCCATTTCCATGACTGTCCACAGAGCAGGGATACCTTGGACAGCTCCACCTGGGGGACTGGAGGAGGGGGAAACGTTCAAATACCCAACCAGATGGAATTAAGTGTAGGCCTTACCAACCTGGTCAGGAAAGGGGCCATGCATGAGGCTGGGGTGACTGAAGCTTAGCCAGCTCTGCACCTTGCTAGAGAAAGCCTGGCGGCCCCGAGTTCCCACCTCTGCTGAGGCGCCAGTGGGATTCCCTCTTAACGTGAGTTTTGGTGGGAGAGGTATGTGTTGAAACCACACACCCCCTCCAATTCTCTCCCCTCACCTCTTCCTCGGCATGGTGTTTCCCTGGACAGATTCGGACGCATCGGTCGCCTGGTGCTGCGAGCCTGCATGGAGAAGGGCGTTAAGGTGGTGGCAATAAATGACCCATTTATCGATCCAGAATACATGGTGAGCAGCAGACTGGGGGCGGGGGAGGGAGCAGAGGGGTGGGATGGAGGAGGAAAATGAGGGAGGTCTCCTAGAAAAGCCCTCAGATAGCTGGGCATCGGTGGCTCACGCCTGTCATCCTAGCAGCTCAAGAGGTTGAGATCTGAGGATCAGGGTTTGAAGCCAGCCCAGGCAGTAATGTCTATAAAGCTCTTAACAGTAATTAACCAGAAAAAAAGCCAGAAGTGGAGGTGTGAAAAAAAGTGAAAAAAAGCTGAGTGAGAGCACAAGGCCCTGAGTTCAAGCCCCCCCGCCAGTACTTACTCTCACCCAAAAAGGCGGAACTTCCAGCCCAGGGGCAGCCCTCTGGGCACCTCCTCCTCCTCTAGACTAGGACCCCCTGTCCCCTGCAGGCATATATGTTCAAGTATGACTCGACACATGGCAGATACAAAGGGAATGTGGAGCACAAGGGTGGACGCTTGGTTGTGGACAACCGGGAGATCTGCTTGTACCAATGGTAGGTAACACCAGCCCCTTCGGTGGAGTTTGTAGTCCCACTCTGTCTAAGAGAGAGGGGGGGAGAGAGGGGGGGAGAAAGAGGGAGGGGAGAGGAAGGGGGGAGAGAGAGAGAGAGGAGAGAGTCTGTCTGTGGGTATGCATTTGGAGACAGGGTTAAAAAACGTCCTTGGCCCCTACAATGATCAAGAAGTATCTGCAGCCCCCCTCCTCTATTCTCAGGCATAGCAATTGCTCTACCTAGAGTCAGACACTAATGGCTCACACCTGTAAACCTAGCTACTCAAGAGGCTGAGATCTGAGGATCTCAGTTCAAAGCCAGCAAAGGCAGGAAAGTCTGTGATACTCTCAACTCTGATGAACCATCAAAAAGGTGGAAGTGGCAAGTGGTAGAGCGCCAGCCTTGAGGAAAGAAAGCTCAAGGACAATGTCCAGGCCTTGAGTTCAAGCCCAGGACACACACACTCTCTCTCTCCTCCCCCTCCACAACAGGACTCCAGTGGTAGAGTGTTTGCCCAGCATTGGAGAGTCCCTGAGTTCAATTCTCAGTGGGGGGGGGGGAGGGGAACTCTATTCAAGCCACAGAAAGCCATGCACACTTTTCCTCTGTAAGCACACTGCCTGCAGCCTCTGCATACAGAGTCTGCCCTGCGGATGCCAGGAAACTTCCTGGCATTGGGCCAGGGGCTGAGTGCTAAAGACTAGAGGGGCTAGGCGGGCTTCAGACGAGGGTGTTCAGGGCTGGGAGCAGTGTACAGCCTCGCAGGCCTTGACAGCACAGACTCTGCGCTCTGGTGGGTACCGAGTGTGATGCGGGATGGGAGTGGAGGAGGGGCAAGGCCCAGCAGCTGGGCATCCATCTGGGCATGAGGGAAGGGAGAGGGTGGTGGCCGGTCAAGCAGGTGTCAAGTCAGCCTTTCAGTGGTGAAGACTAAATTCTGAAGCCCTGGACCCGACTGCCCCCCAGAAACACTGATCTTACCCCCCCTCCACAGCAAGGATCCCAAAGAAATCCCCTGGAAGGATTTGGGGAGCCCCTATGTGGTAGAGTCTACGGGTGTGTACCTGTCCCTAGAGGCTGCTTCAGTAAGTCGGGGTGTGGTGTCCAGGGCTGGATGGGGTGGGGGTAGGGACACTTGAAGCACCTGATCTCCCCTCCCCCATGCCACTTCCCCAGGCACACATCAACGCCGGCGCCCAGCGTGTGGTCATCTCCGCGCCCTCCCCGGATGCTCCGATGTTCGTCATGGGTGTGAATGAAAAGGAATATAATCCTGGCTCCATGAAAATCGTCAGGTAATGCCCAGTCTCAGAGGTCACCCCGACTACCGGTTAGACATGCAGGGCTGGGATAGGGAGGGGTTGAGTGGTAGCCAGCTTTGCCTAGCATGTGCAAAGGTCCTGAGTTTCCATCCCCTGCCCCGCAAGGGGGAGAGGAGGGAGCAAGCCCTCCAGAGAACCTGTTTAGGATGCTTCCTCCTCCCGCGCCCATGGCACCTTGTTCACCTGGGGGAGGGGCGCCTTACTGGCCTTGGTGCATACCCAAAGACTAAGGGCACCCACCCCTCGACTGTTTCAGCAATGCATCCTGCACCACCAACTGCCTGGCCCCCCTCGCCAAGGTCATCCATGAGCGATTTGGGATTGTGGAAGGGCTCATGGTAAGTTGAGGCTGGATCTCGGGGGGAGGCGGGGGCAGGGGATGTCACAGAAATCCAATCTCTTCTTCCCAAATATGGAGTCAGCAGAAAGACATCTCCAAAAGGAAAAGATACCCCTAACCCTCAGGCAAGGCTGTTGTCAGCCCAGGATGGCCCATAGGCCTCCAACCCTCTTCTAGGAGAGACAAAGCCTTCAGCTCAACACCCTCCTTTTTCCCCAAGACCACAGTCCATTCCTACACGGCCACTCAGAAGACCGTGGATGGGCCATCGAAAAAGGCCTGGCGAGATGGACGGGGTGCCCACCAGAACATCATCCCAGCCTCCACAGGGGCAGCCAGTGCTGTGGGCAAAGTTATCCCAGAGCTCAAAGGGTAGGAGGACCCTGCAAGCGGGGTGGGGACCATGCCCCTGGGACTGGAGGGTCCCTGATCCTTTGGTTTACCCAGATGCAAGGCAAGGTGTCTGGGTTCTGAGTCCCACCCCTCATGTGGAATTCTCCAGGAAGCTAACAGGAATGGCCTTTCGGGTGCCAACTCCAGATGTGTCTGTGGTGGACCTGACCTGCCGCCTGGCCCGCCCTGCCCCCTACTCTGCCATCAAGGATGCTGTAAAAGAAGCAGCCAAGGGGCCCTTGGCGGGCATCCTTGCGTACACCGAGGACCTGGTAAGACCTAAGACCCTGGAAGGGAAGAGTGGAGGCTCCGAGTTCTACTTGCTCTCTGTGAGAACTGTTCTCAGTGTACCAACACAGGCACTGCAGAGCTAAGCACATACACTCCTGTCTCAGGGGTCTTTATACCTGAAGTTGCTTTAGCCTGTAACACTGGACCCCAGTTGGGTTTGCCCTCACTTCCTCCCCATGTGAACTCCAATCCACCCTCCTTCATGCCAGGATCACGTGGTTCAGATCAGATATCAACCCTCCTGCTGGAAACCCTCCCATGTCCCTTTTCACCAGCGGGGACTTCCTTCCACCTCAGACCCAGTGCTGAGTGAAGGAATGGCCAGGCCTCTGCCATCAAAACCCAGGTTTCAATATGTAATCATGCTATTCAGTAGACCCTACATGGAAAATGAGCTATGCAACTTGTGAGCAGGGATGGGAGGGGGAAATTGGGGGGAAAGGGAAGGAAGAAAGGAAGGAAGGGAGGGGAAAGTACTCATTACTTGACTCATGAAATGGTAACCTCTCCGTCCAACACCTTAATAAAACTATATTTTTTAAAAAAGAAAAACGAGTTCAAGGCTACCCCATATCCATGCCCAAGTTACCTGCATTGTTCCCCGAATGTTTAAGGATATTCGCAATGGTGTGTCCTCTGTGTGTATATGTATGAGACGGTAATGGTGCTTGAACTCAGGGCCTTGAGAGCTATCCCTTAGCTTTTTCTGCTCAAGGCTGGTGCTTCAGCACTTAAGCCACATCTCCAGTTCTGGGTTTTGGTGGTTCACTGGAGATTAAAAAGTGTCTCACAGTCTTATCTCCCTGGGCTGGCTTCGAACCCGCGATCCTCAGATCTCAGCCTGCAGAGTAGGTGGGATTACAGGCGTGAGCCCCCGGTGCAGGGGCCGTGTGCCCTTTCCCCAGGCACGGAACTCTCAGACGGACGAGGTGCCTAAGAGGGGGTACCTGGCCTCCTGGGAGGTCTTTGCTAAGTTGCCCCCCCATCTCTGAAATCCCGACACGCAGGTGGTCTCCACGGACTTCCTCGGCGATACCCACTCGTCCATCTTCGATGCGAAGGCCGGCATCGCCCTCAACGACAGCTTCGTGAAGCTCATTTCCTGGTAAAGGAGTTAGATGACTGCAGGGGAAGTCTGGTGGTGGCGGGGTCGGAAAGACAGACACACACACACACACCCGCCCCTCCTCGACGCCTTTGTCTTCCCTTTCCTCAGGTACGACAACGAATACGGCTACAGCCACCGAGTAGTCGACCTCCTCCGCTACATGTACAGCCGGGAAAAGTGAAGCGGAAACGCTCCCCCTTCCTCCGCTTCCGGCGGGAGAGGCCCTTCTCGCCACTTCCGTTGGGAACGCCCCTTTCGTTACTTCCGGCGTTCCTGCTCCAAGGTGTCGTCCACCTCTCCCGCGGAAGCGTTGAAATTAAAAAAAAAAAGCGTACTGGTAACGGTGTCGGTGTGTCTGCGCCGCTCAGGGTGGGTGGAGGTCTGGGTTCGACAGCGGGCGTCCGAAGGGGACGGCGCCGGTTCCCCAGCGGAGACGGGGCGTGGACGGCACCAGCGGAAAAGTTTAAAGACCGGGTGTGGCGGGTGTTCTGACGTCACTCTGCGCGCGACGCTTCCCCGGAGCTGGACTACAACTCCCAGAAGGCTTCGCGCGCAGACTGCGACCCAGTCAAGTGGGCGCCTGGCCCGGGCGCCGGTGGAACCGAGGGACCCGGCTCGGAGACGCCGTGCCTGGTGACTCCCGCTGCGGCGGGGACCGGACGGCCGGCGTCATGACTCTGTTCCACTTCGGGAACTGCTTCGCCTTGGCCTACTTTCCCTACTTCATCACGTACAAGTGCAGCGGCCTGTGAGTGCGGGCGGAGCGGGCGCGGGGGTTCCGAGTGGGTGCGGGGAGGGAAGTCCCCCGCCTGCCGGGCCGGCCGCTCACCGACCGCTTCTCCAGGTCTGAGTACAACGCCTTCTGGAAATGCGTCCAGGCCGGGGTCACCTACCTCTTTGTGCAGCTATGCAAGGTGAGGGCCTCCCGGACCCACGTGTTCTGGACTCTAGGCTTTCCAGATCCCGGGGAGCCAGCTCCCGGACGCTGGGGAACCTCCCCTCCCCCCTCCCCCATCCTATAGCCCGACGCACTTTAGGAAGATCGTGTGTATGAACCCGGGGAGAGATCGTGAAGCTACTTTTTCTAAGCACTTGTGATTAAAATGGAGAAAAATCTCACTTGTCGAGTTGGTCTCAATTTTTTTTTTAATTTTTAGTCGGTCCTAGGGCTTGAACTCAGGGTCTGGGTACTATCCCTGAACTCTTTTGCTCAAGGCTAGCTCTAGATGACTGTGAGCCGAGCCACTTCCGGTCTTCTGGTGGTTCTTGTAGATAAGAGTCTCAGGGACTTTCCTGCCCTGGCTGGCCTTGAACCACAATTTGAGATCTCAGCCTCCAGAGTAGCTAGGATTACAGGTGTGAGCCATCAGCTCCTGGCTTAACTACTGTTCTGCTTTTGCGAGACAGACTCGAACCCACCATCTGTCACTTTGCCTCTTTGGCTAGCACTCTACCAACTGAGCCATGCTCCAGGGTGGTGGATCTCCTCGTTACCCACTGAGCTCTCTCCAGCCTTTCTAGACTTAGCCTCCATTCTCTGAGAACTTTCAGCCCCTTAAGAGGCCAAAGCACCTCCTCCTCTGTCAACCCCAATGATGCAATCTCACCACCTCTTCCAGATGAGCCCCTGCTTTCCATCTGCACCCTAACTTCCCTTCAAACCCACAGTGGCTTAGCTCCCCTTCTCCCTTTCCCTGGAGGTGACCTTTCTGCTTTCTCTTTTCAGATGCTGTTCTTGGCCACTTTCTTCCCCACCTGGGAAGGTGGCATCTATGACTTCATTGGGGTGAGTGAGACCAGAAGGATGTGGGGAGGGACAAGAATGGCCCACCTGTTATACCCCAGTGCTTATGTCAGCCTCCACCTGACCCACAGGAATTCATGAAGGCCAGCGTGGATGTGGCAGACCTGATAGGCCTCAACCTTGTCATGTCCCGGAATGCCGGCAAGGGAGAGTACAAGATCATGGTAGCTGCCCTTGGCTGGGCCACCGCAGAACTCATTATGTCCCGGTGTGTAGAACAGCCTGGAACTCTGTCCCTTGAGGACAGGGACACCCTGGGTTCTACAGAGATACTGGCAGGAGAAGGTTTGGAGTTTGGATATAGAAGGTGTCTGGGTACCAGAGATTGCTTCTCTTTGCATTCCTCAGCTGCATCCCCCTGTGGGTCGGAGCGCGGGGCATTGAGTTTGACTGGAAATACATCCAGATGAGCATCGACTCCAACATCAGCCTGGTGCGTAGTCGGCATCTGCCCCTCCTCACCACCTGCGTGTGCTGCCACTGCCCACGAAAGCCTGGCCCTGACTGCTTTCCCTCCTGCTTCTCCCCCTCCAGGTGCATTACATCGTCGCCTCGGCCCAGGTCTGGATGATCACACGCTACGACCTCTACCACACTTTCCGGCCAGCCGTCCTCCTCCTCATGTTTCTCAGTGTCTACAAGGCGTTTGTCATGGAGTGAGTCGAGTGGGATTTGAAGCTGGGTGCAAAGGAGGGTGAGTTTTCTCTTCTCCTTTCCTCACAGTGCTGTCTCCCTCTAGGACCTTTGTACACCTTTGCTCCCTGGGCAGCTGGACCGCGCTGCTGGCCCGAGCAGTAGTCACGGGGCTGCTGGCCCTCAGTACCTTGGCCCTGTACATCGCCGTCGTCAATGTGCACTCCTAGACTTGGTGTCCCAGAGTCACTGGACCTGTTTCCCTGTCTCTCTCCAGGTGTTTATGCAGTAAACAGTATTTGGAAAGTTGCTCCTGCCTCTGTTTCCCTGTCAAGTTTGCCACTTCCATGCCCATATCTGTGCTAGAGACTCTTTGTTCTACCTTTGTGACCAAGTAGACCAAGTGGCGCTGTGGCTCAAGCGGTAGAGCGCTCGCCTTGAGCTGAAGAACACAGGGACAGCGCCCAAGCCCAGAGTTTAAGCCCCACGACCGACAAAAAAAAAAGAAAGAAAGAAAACCAAGTAGACAGGATGGGGTACTGCCAGCCCCCAGCCTTGTTCTGTGTTCCTGGAGTAGGTCCTCGGGCTCCTGAGGTTCTCACAGTGGACTGAAGTCTTTTTTTGGGGGGTCTGGTCTTGGGGCCTGAACTCTGGGCCTGGGCGCTGTCCCTCAGCTCTTCAGCTCAAGGCTAGCGCTCTACTACTTGAGCCACAGTGCCACTTCCGGCTTTTTTTCTTTTTGTTTATGTGGTGCTGAGGAATCGAACTCAGGGCCTCAGGCTTGCATGCAAGGCAAGCGCTCTACCACTGAGCCATCTTCCCAGCCCCTGAAGTCTTGAAGTAGATGATCACTAAGCCCAGTGCCACTGGCTCACTCCTGTAATCCCAGGTACTCAGATGTGAGGACCATGGTTCAAAGGCAGCCCAGTCAGGAAGGGTCTTTCGATTCTTATTTCCAAAAAGATGGAAGTAGAGGCTCAAGTGATAGGGAAAAAGCTAAGGGACAGTGCACAGGTCCTGAGTTCAAGCTCCAGTACACACACACACAGAGACTCTGTTAGTATTCATTCAAGCCACCACAGTTGGATCCTGGCTTTTCAGTGCTTTCACTCAGTCCTGTAGCTTTTGGAAATCCTTGCCCTGTGTCTTCCTCAGAGTGGTGGACTATTTCAGTTACAGCCAAATAGCAAACAGCCTGGCCAGCTGGCATAGTGTCCTTCCGGGCTCACCCCCCTGCCAGCGCCCACCGTGCACCCCATCCCTTTCTCCTGTGGGCCTGCATGTCAGGCAGGCCTTGGAGTGCCATGCTTCCAGCTCCATCATCATTGTCGTGTGAGGTGCCCAGCCCTGCTGCTCCCAATGGCTCATCCTTTCTCTGCCAAGCTCATGAGGTCTTAGGAAGGGACAGCTCTGTTTGGCTCTCCTATGCTAGTCTTGGTGTTTCTAGAAAGATCGTTTGTCCTCTGATGGGAAGCCATCAGCTGGCCCCACTCCACAGGTAGATGTCTGGCCAGGCCTGGGAGTCATTGATCACCTGACTTCATGCTAGAGGAAGGGGGATGGGACGCACCCCACCTGGGGAGATGTTCTGTGAAATCATGGGCCAGAAATGGCAGAGCTGGGATGGAAGCCTGGGCAGTGGGAGGCCAGTAAGGGTCCAGGCCTCAGATTTGTAACAGGAAAACACAGGGTCTATGGAACCTATAAGTGGTGCTGTGTGTGTGAGCACATGCTCATGCACATGCACACCAATCCTGAGGCTTGAACTGAAGGGCCTGGCACTGTCTCTGAGTTTTACTCAAGGCTAACACTCTACCACTTGAGCCACAGCTCCATTCCTAGCTTTTTGGTGATTCATTGGAGATAAAAGTCTTCATAGACTTTCCTGCTCAGATTGGCTTTAAACCATGATCCTCAGATCTCATCCAACTGAGTAGCCAAGAAAACAAGTACCAGACACTGGCTCCTGACCCCAGAGGTGCTTTCCGATGGAGCCTAGGCTGATGGAGGTGTGGCTGAGCATTGAACAGGACAAGGAGGAATTGTAGGCAGGGGGAAGGACGGGTCCAGGCCATGACTGTTGAGTGGAAATTGAAGCCAGGAGGCCAGAGCTGGTCAAGGTGGTGGCGGTGGCCTAGATGCCATGTCGGGATGTGCAGGGGACCAGTGCCTGTGGGCACAGTGGGTATGACAAGCTAAGCAACAGTCTGGATGGCCCTTGCCAGCTCTCAGCGCGGGATGGTTTTATTACTCTCAGGCAGTGTGAACTTTTCCACCCAGCAGCCCCCAGACCCACGCTCCCATCCACACACCCCACTGGGAGGTGCCAGCCCCCTGGGAAGCTGTTTCTCCGGGCTCAGGGGCAGGGATGGGCAGGGCCTCTCTGGATGGGACACGCACAGGTGCAGGCGTGACACTGTTGGGCTGTGCAGCTGCTGTGGAGGAGCCGTGTGTCTACCCCCTTCTGCCTGTAGTAGGCACAGTGTCCTTTCAATAGTAGAGTTCCTGGTCCCACCAGCCTGGGGGAGGGGGAGAGGAGAAGGCTTAGAGCAAGACCTGAGAAGTAGGGAGCCAGGCCCCAAGGTGAGGGAATGAGCTGGGGGGCGGGCGGGGAGAGGATTGAGAGGTGCGGTGGATGATCACAAGTCAGGGGCACCCAGCCCCCACACTCACTCCCTGGGCAACAGCGAACTCCAAGTTTGCGGATCTCATCATAGACGAAGATGAGCAGGCCAAAGGGCATGGGGACCAGCCACCACTGGAAGCTGCAGGTGCAGGGGGGCGGTGGGTGAGGGCAATGCCCAGACCATGTCCACACCTCACACCCCATCCCCCCACCGGGCCCAGCCCCTCACCGGATCGGCATGAAGTTGAAGATGTTGGGCATCCCCGGGCAGTAACACAGGAAGCAGCCAATGCACACCTGGAACACGATGGCGATCACCAGGATCCGGTTCCTGCCAGGGTGGGAGGACAAGCTCAGGCAGGCTGGGAGCTCAGCACTGAGTCACGGTGCACTAAAGGTGGTGGCAGCGGGGCGTCCTCAGACACTAAACATGGGGTGGCAGTTCCCCCACTGCATCAGCAAGGACTAATGCACCGGTGCCCAGCCTGCCGTGGTGGTGCGGGGGCTTGCCAGTATGGGGAGGGACCAGTGCCAGGGGGTAGGGGGACGGGGGCGGACAGGCAGGGGGCAGTGGGGTCACCTAAAGAAGCCCTGCTGGAAAGCCGAGAGGCGGCGCGTCTTGCGGATAAGCACGTCTGCAATCTGGCACATCTCGATGCTGATGAAGAACACGGTGTAGCAGGTGTACTGCTGGTACAGGCGCTGCCCGAACGTCTGGACAAAACCAAGCCAGCCTGAGTCCAGGCAGATCAGCCACCCCCAGGGGCCCCATGGCCCTGGACCAGGACCCCCCATGCCTCCCTCCCCCTCACAGGAGGCTCGGCTGTTGGCTCTGTGTGACCTGAGCATGCAGCAGCTCAGATGCTGCTCCACAGGCTGTGCACCGAGCTGCCTGGCATTCACAACCAAAGCAGAGAAGCAGCTTCCTGGACAGCCCAGGGGAGAGGCCCGGAAAGGAAGGACTGGAGTCCCAAGGCAGGATTTGCAGAGACCAGTGGGAAACAAGGCACAGAGACACAAAGCAACTTGCCCAAGGTCACACGTCTTGTCAAAGCCATACCAGACCACAAACCCAGGCAATCTGCCTCCAAGAAGTCACCAGCACAGCTGGGTGCCCCCAGATGCTCTGACTAGCCTGTCCCCATAGAGCCATGGTGGACGGCCCCAGATCAGGTAGCACAGGATCAGGGCAGTCCCAGGATTGGGTAGACAGGAGCTCACCCACTCCTGGCCATAGCTGTCCTGCAGATCTTGTAGGTGGTGATCCTCCCACTGTGGCCGCAGCCCCACACACAGCAGAGGGAACCAGCCCTCCTGCGCCATGGCTGTGAAGTAGTCGGCGAAGCCAGCAAAAGACTGGATGGCACCTGGGAAAGAGGTGGGCAGCAGGGAGGGGCAGGGACATTAGGTCAAGATCAAGAGAAAGCCAGGCGCCGGTAGCTTATACCTGTCATCCAGGAACCTGGCATCTGAGGATCAAGGTTTGAAGCCAGCCTGGGCAGGAAAGTCCGTGAGATTATCTCCCATGAACCACCAGAAAACTGGAAGTGGAGCTGTGGCTCAAAATGGTAGAACGCTAGTCTTGAGCAAAAGAGTCAAGGACAGCTTTCCGGCCCTGAGTTCAAGCCCCAGGACCAAAAAAAAAAAAAAAAAAATCAAGGCCCTGAGATAAACATGAGACAGAGGCAGAAAAAGGGGAGAGGGATATAGAAAAATGTAGAGAACCCTCAGAAACAATGACCCAAGGGAAAGCAGGGATATAGGGGACCCAAGATCAGACACCCAGGCAGTTGTGTGCAGCAAGAAGAGCCCCAATGCACGCTCACCTATCTGGAAATAAGAATAGGCAGCCAAGGGCTCATTGACCAAGCGGTCGCGTCTGGGGTTCCGCGGACGCAGGTGCATGATGTCACTCTCTGCCTTCTCATACGCCAGGGACACAGATGGGAACTGGCCAAGAGCAGAAGGAAGTAGAGCTGTGGGTGGCCAGGGTCCTGTCCCACACTTCCAGCCATCCTCCACCCACCAGGCAAGAACAAGAGACAAGGCTTGCAGCTGCCCGTCTGGGTAATGTGTCATCTCCATTAAAAGGTTAGCTTTTGTTTGGCTCTCTTACTTTCTCCCTCTCCTCCATCCTCTCCAGCCCCTATCTCTTAGCTTTTTCACTCAAGACTAGTGCTCTACCATGTGAGCTTTTTTCTGATTAATTGGAGATGAGTCTCACAGACTTGCTTGTCCAGATACTGGCTTCAAACTAAGATCCTCAGATCTCAGCCTCCTGAGTAGCTTGGATCACAGGAATGCACTACAGCCATCCAGTTCCTGGATTCTTAGTTTCTGTGTGTCTAGTCTCTAGCCATTTTCTATGACTGTCTCTGCTTTTGTGTGTCTTTTGTCTCTGTGTCTCCATGTCTCTGTCACTCTGCACCTCTGTGTCTGAAGTGTCTGAAGTGGCAGAGCACTAGCCTTGAGTGAAAAAGCTCAGGGAGGGCTGGGAAGGTGGCTCAGTGGTAAAGCGCTTGCCTTGCATGCCTGAGGCCCTGGGTTCGATTCCTCAGCACCACATAAGCAAAAAGAAAAAAGCCAGAAGTGGTGCTGTGGCTCAAGTGGTAGAGCGCTAGCCTTAAGCTGAAGAGCTGAGGGACAGCGCCCAGGCCCAGAGTTCAGGCCCCACGACCAGACCA